TCTAGAGACTACACCAGGCTTAGTCATCTGCTTTTGCTTAACTTGCCCAACTTAGTCCTTGCTCCGAGACACCGACAGAGACACAGCTGAGCACTAAGACACATTTCTCTGGCTTGCTGCTTAGTTCACCATCAGCTATCACTTAATACACACAATTTATTCCTTGCTATGCTTGGTCATTTCCAATCTTCCTATTTTTCCTGCCCAGTCAACCCTAAACTGGAGTTTCTTTCCAGCTCCTCATCCTGTTTTTTTTGGAATAAGTTATTTTTATCTTCTGTCCCCATCTCAGCAGGCTTTGTCCCAGGTAACTTTTGCTCCCATTCCAAGTTCAACTTTTGTCCCTTTGTATTTAAATCAGACTGCTACTGCTCTGATATACCCTGAATGCCAGCTAGGGGAGCAGGGGACTTGGATGTGTCTTGTCCTGGACGGGACCTTCCAGGAGATGGCATGTGCATAGCCTGGGCAGGCCCAAGAGCTGAGACGCTTGCAGTTTGAAATGGAATTTGGCTCGTAAGGTTTATAATGAAAATGTACTGACTGTGCTTTTCCAAGTGTATTTAAATTTGGGATTTTGAGGGGATAGAATATGCCCAACTCAAATCATCCTTCTGTCAAATTTTATGTGCCTGCTAAAGCCCAATGGGTGCAGGAATGTTTCAGACAAAGGGTTTTCAGAAGGCAGCACAGGTAATGTAATTTTTCTTAGGTCTGTTTCTTGCAAAGACTGCAACTGTCTTGTGTCTAGTAATAAAGCTGAGAGAGACATCTAGCAGGAAAAATTTCAATGCGCATAGTTTGGCAAAGTTACTCTCCATGGTTTTATCATTGGAAAGAATTAGAGGCCGTTTTTACTGCTTCTTCCCTCAAACTTAGAACTATAAGCTTCGTAGAAAACGAGGCTTTGGTTTGATATGGTGCAGTCTTCAAAAACCGGTGCTGGCTGTCCCCCACCACGGCACTTCCCTCTCTGCTATCTTGACAAAACCCTGTGCTGGCTGTTAGCTAACGCTTAGCACTTTGCTATCTGTTGTGCTCTTACAAGGCAAGACTCTGACTTTTCTTTTTTCTTTTTAATTGGTGACAGTTTCTTTCCCCAAGAACTGAAGTCGATGGCCGTGTGACACCAAAGCAAAGCCACTCGAATGCCAAGCTGATGCCCCAAGGCGCAGGGGGGTGTCCCACTGCTCCCGCTCAGTGCAGACAAGTCACCCACAAGGGACAACCTGGCAGAAAACTCACTTCTCTTTTGGAGGAGGACTAGGTTTCTGCTGGTTGTGATCCCTTGAGCCAGCTCCCTGCGGGGTCTGACGAGGACCCATCGGTCAGGCACTGCCCGCGCCGGGGGAGCAGGGAGAGCGCAGGGGTGGAGAGGGGACGCGGGAGAAGAGGCGCTGGCAGCAGCGACCTGTTAGACCCAGGTAGCCGTGAAGTCCAAACAGCCCATTAAGGGGAATGGGCTATAACTTCCCGTTTGCACCTTTTCCACCCCTGTTTTTCAATTTGTCAAAACCACACTTGCTCTTTTTCTAGTGTTCTGTAAGCATACCTGCCTCCAACCTCTTCTTAAAAGTTAATCCCTGAGACTGAGTATTGTAAAGTGAATTGCATCAGGTCCTGCCTACTTGAAAATACTTAGCTTATCCTAGGAGTTTTAGAACTATTTTCCTACAGAGACAAGTGTTCTTATGAAGACATTCTTGTGGTTTTGCCTCTGATGTTAATTGTGGTAGCTATCTGGGTTTCTTTTTTGCAAGAAGGGATTGAAGCTAAAAGAGCATAACTACATAGGAATCAAGGTGCCACCTTGTTTTTAGTGGTCTGCACTGAACAGTGGATCTATATCAGGAATTGCTCATAGTATTGGAAGAGAAAATTGAGTCAAAACGATTGCCACATTTTTGTCTCCACCAAGGGGTTAGGTAGGTGTCTGGTTCAGCTTAATAGGATGCTTTCCTGTTACTTTTATGTCTCTTGCTGGATGTATCAATTTGTGGCTTTACCTGTCTCATTGCCCCATGTGTTTTGTGATCCTTTCACAATCCCCTGGAGGAATCTGATTTCCATTTATTGCACTCAAGTTTCATGTTGCTGAGAAGTTCTTAGTCCCTCTGCTTCTTATCTTTCCCTATCATTGGGATGCTTTGTGCTTGTGTCCTTTGCCTTGCTACTTCTTAGCAGTCCCACATACTGTGTCAGAAGATTTTGCACGCTATGATTGATCAAACAATGCAAATAAAGATAATATAAATTTGTACAAATAGTGCAAATAATGAATATAGTGCTGTAGCAGAAATAGCTTATGCAAATCAAGAGGTTTTTTTAAAAGGGTCACAGATTCTGTTGATTGCTGAACACAGATCTTGAGATTTTTGAAAGGAATTCTGATATCAGAAAGCACTATGAATAATTTTGGAGATGGGAGAGAGAAACTGTGAGTCACTCAGGATCTCTAGTGCAAAGAAAAAAGCACTAGAAAGTCTTTGGTCTGTAAGTCAGTGAAGAAGAAATTGAAGGAATATGCCACTTCAGTCCTGCATGTTATCAGTTATGAAGTTTGTAAAACAGGAAGGGGAAGAGAGCACTTGCTGAGTGATGTATAACATCTGGCCAGAAATGAAACATTCCCCAGGGTTTGCTAAAATTGCCTCTCAGTAACTTCACCAAGCTTTTTCAAAGTCTTCTAAAATATTTTGATTTATATCTTGGGTTTTCTGTAGGCTTTGTGCCCTACAAAACAACTTACCTTGTAGTGCTATCTCTGTCCTTGGTATTTTTCCAGAAGCCAGTCAATAGTCCTGTGCCATCCCTAGGTACAGTATCCTGGTGACACCAACAAGACTGGGTCGTTTGTAATGGCCCCCAGCACACACGGATGGGCTTGTGCTGCTGCACACAGCCAAAGGACGCTGTTTATGTTCTCTCACTACAAAACCTGATTATTTGAAGTTCACAGGAGAAAGTTGTAAGTGTTTAACCACAAAAGCAGGGGCAAAATACAGTTGTTTGTGTCTTGCAAACAAGTTGAGACATAAAGTTTTGATGTGTAGTCCAAACCTAAGTTTCTCTTCTGATGGAGAGAACCGCTGCAAATCTCTGGATTTTAAGGCTTTAGCATTTCCCCTCCTTCTCACACCTGGTTTTGAGATTCTCTTTTATCTTTAATTGTATCCCTTTGGCCTAGTCTTCCCACGCCCTGAATTGTTCCCTTTTCACCCCTCCTTCCTTTTCTCTTATAGTTCTCAGGGTGGAAAAACACTTACTTAAAAAAAAGTGTGAGATGTATTTCTCCCTGTGGAATAGCTGTAATCTTAATTTAATCCAATTACGTTGGCTAAACATATTAGCTGGATGCTTTTGTTAACAGTTGACCTTTTTAAAATCTGTGTCCTTGGATTACAGAGCCCATGTCTCGGAGAAAGGAGCAGAGGTGTTTCACAACACTAGAAGCTGCCACCAATGGGCTGCTGGGAGCTGGGTGCCTGTGTTGGTTACAAGGATGCAGTTAATTCAGTTTTTCTCTGTCACCAATGAATTAACACCTTGCCCCTTCCCACAAAGTATAGAGAAGAGTGGCTTGAGCACTTTGCACACGCTGTTACACCGTGGGCTTATATGAGTTTCATGTGCTTTAACTTGCCTTTTAATAAGTCTGAGGTTTGCAAACGGAATCCAGTACAAAGATGTTAGTTGGCTATCCATAAATAAATGCATATAAATTAATTTATTTAGAGGCTTCTGTTGGTTACAGGCCCAAAGTAAATGCATAAGCTAAATCCACAATGCAGAAATATCTGTCTACAACTTCATAGCAGAATGTATTATTTTATCTTGGTTCACTGAGGAGCAGAATATGATCCAAGCCTTTGGGGCAAGTCTAAAGAGCAAGCAACTATAGTACTCTGAATTACTCTACCTAATTGAATAAACAACGTTCTTCGGAAACAGTTATTTGGCTTAACTTCATTAGATGTAAAACTTTTTTCTTCTTTTTCCTGTGTCTTCCCAGGTAATGTTCTTTCTATTGTTAGGATAACAAGTATCCCCAGATTTAATTTCAGTAACCAGAGTAGCATGGCAGGGTATAGAATTGTTCCCAAAGATAGTAGATTGTGTTTCTGTCTAGGAACAAAATTCATATTGCTGGTGGTTTTCCTTGCAGTTTGTCTGTGTGTTGCATAGTTTAACAGTTTCATTCATTGTGTTTATTATTCAAGATGTACACAGCTTTCCTTTGAGTTAAATGCAACATTTAGCTCTTTCAGGGATCATCTGTCTAATACTACTTATGCTCCACCTTGCTTTCATGTAGGCAGCTTTAATGCAAACGTGCTAGTTAATATGAAATAAATGTAGTGGTTGTGCTTTCAGTGAGGACAATTGTTGAGAAGCAGAGGAGAGCAGTTGTCCAATGCTGCTTTTGATGCTGTGTCTTGTATTTCATTGATGGAAAGTTTATAGTAGTTGGAAGCTACTGGTCCTCTCAAAGCCATCCTTTCAAATGGTGAAGGAAAAACATAACTTGCACTAGTACTACCTGTGCAGAAACTTACGTGGATAGAAGGAGTTTTTCAAGAGAAATGTAGTTTTGTAGGTGCATACGTATGTGTGCTTGAGAGATTCTCTTTGTTGTTCTTAACTGACATGTTCTCAACTCAAGTGAGGGCGGAAATCTTTCATATGTATTTAAGAAGGTCCAGACTCGACTGAAGTGGATCATACAACTGTCACTCAGCTTTTCAAATTAAAAAAATTGCTGAATTTTCAAATAAAAACCCCATCAACCTAGCCTTTGAGAGTGACATATTTAAGTCCACCTTAGGATTCCAGTAAATATTCAGATTCCCTTGTGAATATGGGGTATGAACCTGTACTGATACCTTGCTGTGAAAAGTTCACTGCTGTCTGCCTTTCCTATAGCCCCAATATTGTGTTTGATAAAGCGAAATACACTTCTTAACAATCCATCAATTAAGAAAAAATCATTTTTTTAACAGGCGAAACGAAGGCTGGAGCTAGGAGAAAGCGGCCACCAGTATCTTGCTGAAGGACTAAAGACTCCAAAGGGGAAAGGAAGAGCTGCGACAAGAAGTCCAGATAGTCCAAAAAGTAAGGGAACTTGTAACACACCGTATGGCACAGTGTTTTTTATTTTACTAGCTTGGGATCGGAGCGAACCAGTACAACAGGCTGCGTTACCTAGCTAAAAGAATGTGTTTATTACTATCCTCACCTGGATGTTCGTGCAACATACTCAATCCCGCAGCCAGGCAGTGGACAAGTTTGCGGCGTGCATCAGTCGGTGCAGAGCTGCTGAGCGGCTGCAGAGGCTCTTGGCTGTTAGGTCTGTCCCTGTGCCTGCAGCCTCTCCGTCCAGGACCTCCTCTTCAGCCAAGGACATGAAGTTAGGGACGCTTAGGAGAGGTAGATGCTGAGGAATGAAGGTACTATGATGGGATCAAATGCACAGTTATTAGGCAAGGCTAATCAGGCCAGACTCCTCCTTCCCCGCTAAAGTTACAGCAGCTGATTGGCAAGGGTTCTTCCCCCAGGCAGGGATTTGCAAAGAGTGGTAGCTGTGCCTCAGCAGCATCGCACGCTAAATGCTTTTTGTGGGCTCTGAGCTGTCTTCTCTCACTGCAAAGTGACTAGATTATTACTGCCACTGCTTAGTTGCTGCAAATATTAATCTTTGCCCATCTATATTGTCTCGGGCAGTAGGTTTCTTGCAACAGGAGCTGTGGGGTAGAGCCTTGCCATCTTGTTTGGGGGATTTCAGCGGGAGAATTAAGCTTGCATAGGGAGGCGAACAGGGAAAGGGGAGGACTGGGGCAGCAGTGGTAGTGACGGGAGAGCAAGAGATGTGAGGGGGTACTTTCTTCTCCCTCCTCACTGGTCTAAGTGCTTGCTTCTGTTGAGGCAAATAGGAAAAGTGACATTAACTAAAGATACAAACTTAAAGTGGACAAGTTAAACAACCACAGTTGTTTTAATTAAACTAAACTTCATTAAGCTAAATGTAATCCGTTTTAAATTGAAGTGTGTTTTCACAGAAGTTCAGTACCGTTCAGAGCATAGGATGCTGCTGCAGTGTTGGTAAGGCTGTACAGAGGACTTCTTGGTGCGTGACCAGGAGCACAAGCCATTTTAGGTGGGGGTCAAGGCCTCTTGTCCTTATCACTCTGACTCTCATTCTTTTCCAAACCCCAAAAGAAAAACAAACAAACAGAGCCCACCCTGCTCTAAATTCACAAGGCTGCCTAAGTGATACGAATACTCCTCCATTTCCAAGTGCAGACAAGCCCTCAATCTACCAGAGAATGAGGTACAGCTAGCTGGTTCTCTTTGCAAACAGGCAATGACTTGGTTTTCATTGAAAAGCCGTCATATTCTTCAAAATATTTCGGGGTAGTCTAAAGGTTTACTTTCAGGTAGGATTTAAATTTTGACTAACTTCTGCAATTAAATGTGGGACCTGAACCTTGAAAACATGAAAATGACCACCAGATCAGCCTAAGATCCATCCTGCATAATACTTCAAGCAAATGAAAGGTTTGAGATGTACCAGCCCAGCAGACTTCTAATAATGGCTGGCTCATTTCCCTTGACACAAAGGCCTCAAACATTTAGAATTAGAAATTATTCTGATCTAAGTATTTAAACTCTTAAAAGCGCATCTGTTAAGTATATGATGTTGCAGTTGTGCATGAAAACAGCGAGTTGTCTGGTAAGATCCAAGCTGTTTGCTGACTTCTAATTTAGAAGTGAATACTCTTGCCCAGTTTGAGCATTGTTTGGTTATGGAGAAATGATGATTATAAATTGTATCTTACGTCAGTCTCCTTCAATTCACGTTGAGTTTTCTGTAAGCTGTGGAGTCTGGTGCTGATGGAATCCGTCATTGTGTTCACCCACTGAAGTACACCTAAGTCCTGCTTAATTGCATGTGAAACACTTATCTTACAAGAGGGAAAAATCAAACCCTGATGAAAGCTGGCTATCAGCCTGATGAAAGAGAGTCATAGGGGAATTTTTGGTATTGCTGCCAGGATAAATAGATACTAAAAATACTATTAAGAATTCACATAGTGAAAGCCTAAGTAGAATATTGCTATATGTATCTGTCAGACTAATGGAAATATTTGCATTTGAAAAAATGTATATATTTGCTCATGTACCTGTGACTTTTGGAAAAGTACATCTTGAAATACAAATAAATACCTAGTGGTAAGTTGTGTCTTAATGCAGAGGTTTGAGAGATTTCTTTAGTAAAAATGAAAGAAATATCTGTAATACATATCCTTTCATTTCTGGATGCTGCTTTTGGAACCAAAGAGAGAAAACCTGATTTATCTGTTTGTTTTTTTTTTTTCTTTTCTTTCCAAGCTCCAAAATCTCCTTCAGAAAAGACTCGGTATGATACATCACTTGGCCTTCTTACAAAGAAGTTCATTCAGTTACTGAGCCAATCTCCTGATGGGGTCTTAGATTTGAACAGAGCGGCAGAGGTCCTCAAGGTGCAAAAAAGGAGGATTTACGATATCACCAATGTACTGGAAGGCATCCATCTCATTAAGAAAAAATCCAAAAACAACATTCAGTGGATGTGAGTATTCATTATCCTTTTCCATTCCTGCTGGCTGATTTCACTGTCACAGAGCAGCAGTGTTTTTCTTTTCCCACCTTCCATTCTGAGACTTTGCTCCAAGCAATCATCCAAAATGCCTTCCATCAGGATAAAGCTTTCTTTTTCTGTTAAGACAGGTTTTCAGTGTATAAATAGCATTTGTCAGGGAAATTAGAAACCAACATTTTGTCTGAATACTGGATTAACTCATTTGCTTCTCCAAGTTGAGTAAGTTTTTAGGTACATGTCCCTACCTACTGCTTTCCTCGGTCTTTTTCAGGATGTGGTTAGAGGAGCTAGAAGCAAGATTTTGGAAGTGCTTAGAAATAATCAACTTTTCCATCTCGGTAGCAGTCCAAAATGTGTTGTCATGATAAAAAGATGCTTTTTCTGGAAAGCGTAGTTTATGTTGACTCGCTATGGGCAGGTTTAGGGAGAGTGGGCTAAGAACTTGATCTGCAGTGTAAAACCCTGCCTCTTCCCTTTCCCTTAGCATAGGGTCAAGTTGTACAAATGCTGAAAAGGTGTCTTCCTTCTTTGTATCTGTAGGGGCTGCAGTCTGTCAGAGGATGGTGGCATGCTGGCACAGCGTCAAGGCCTCACGAAGGAGGTGACGGAACTGACTCAGGAAGAGAAGAAACTGGATGAGCTAATCCAAAGCTGCACCCTGGACCTCAAGCTGCTAACGGAGGACACAGAGAATCAGAGATATCCTTTTTCCCAAAATCTCAGAGGTGGTTAGTCTCCTTGCTGTGCCCTGTAATACTAGGAGAATTCCTCTACATAATGTGATATAAAGCATCAGAAATTTCAAGAAGTTGGCTAATGGGTTTTAATGTAGTTTTATATAAAAGTTACTTAAGCCACTTGCACCCGTAATGCTTCTGGAATGTCAAAAGAAAAAAGAAAAGGTGGTATAAGAAGAAGCCCGTTAACATCCGTGTTCACATAGAGTAGAACCAGCAATCTAGCTGATTAATGAATGACAACATCCAACAACCCTGTCCTTTTTCGACTATTTTGGGCCTAGAGCAAACCCTGGTTTTATGTGTGCAGAAATGATAAAGGCATGCAGACAAAGTCTTTGCTAAGGTAACAGAGTTTTGCGTGTGTGTGTACTCATTACTTTTTTTTTTAATTTAAACTACTGTGTATACACATTACAGGCACAGAGAGGAAAATAAAGTTAGGAGTCAGTTTAGTCTGAAACTTGCAACAAATTTTCAGATTCCTCTGGTTAGAGAATCTATAATAGAATATCATAGTTAAAGGTTTTATGAGCTCTCAAAATTACTATTTTGGACTGAATTATTTAATGTAATAGCAATGCTCAATTGCATAAGGTTCATATGACTTCAGGTATTTTGGCTGTTAATATCCCTTGTAATTAACCAATTTTCATTTTCACTAGATTTCCCACCGATTAGTGACAGAAGGAAGCATTTTATTAAATGCTGATGTGAAAACTTTTAGTACTTTTTATAATGAGTGGTTCTTAAAGAGCATCCAGTAAGGTGGACTTCTTTGTTCTGAAGGATCGGAAATAGCTACGGGAGTGTCAGTAAGGAGTATGTGAACTATGTAAGTACTGTCTTTTGACTAGCTTTCATACACATTCGAGACGTAAGCAAAGATCACCAAGTGGCATAGGGAGTAGGGTCAGCACTGCCTTCAGCTAAGAGCTTGATCCCTGAAGAGATTTAAGCAAGACAAAACTGAGCATTACGATTCTTTGTTTTTCTAGTGCTGATTCCTGTGGTAGCAATCTCTGCCCTGCCACTGCTGGCTGCCGTGGGGATGGGCGAGCAGGGATCAGCGTTAGCAGCGTGTTGGCCTCATGCTTTTGGATTTAGGAGAGTGTATTCCCCAAATCCTTCTGTGACTCTAAGTTTAGTGATAATACCAGTGATTGTTGAGGAAGGAATGGATGTGAAACCTGGGGATGAATCTGAGTGCATCCCAGTACTGTCTTTCGCCCACCTCACTGAAGTCTGACATGAGATGACCTGCTGAATACTCATGGAGCTGAGAAGCCTCTTCCTTTGCTTAATCACTGAAGATGAGGTTTCTGCTTGTGAAGGTTTTTTTCTTTTCCCTCACGATTAAGTAGTGTGCTTCCTTGTCTCCCTTATAAATAGAATCAGAAAGTAACCGATTGCTACCTCGAATGTTTTGGGGTATGCCCAGCATTAGCATGGGGAGCCTTTAGCTACAGCAATGAAGATTGTTGTTTTATTTGAAAACCGTACAGTCCTTTCCTTTGTTTGTATAGTGACAGCCACTGTTGCTGTAATTTGTACTCTGCCTTTGCAAACCTTATTAAACGAGTGGTAAAAGCCTTGGTAAAGCCGCTTGGGTGAAAGCTGACCTGTTGCTTTGCCTCTTGACCTGTTAGGTCCGTTACGTGTGACATGTATTAGTGTTTTGAGCTTGGGCAGTCTGTCTTGCTGTACTGCATGGTAACAGTACACATTTACCAAAGTTGTTCTCATTTCCACCCCCAAAAAGTATAATAATAAATTAGGCTTTTTATTTCTATGGCATAAACATTATGATAGATACCTCACAGATGACAAAAGTAAAGAGCTGGAAGCGCTTGCATGTCATCGTGGCTGTTGCACAGTTCTTTTTGCAACCAAAAGCACTGTGACACCTCGGTTACATGGGTCAGTAAGTGAGGCAACACTGTGCGGTAACCCACTAAAACACTCATGTTGACTTGGACAAATTCGTGTTGAACAGCAAAATATTCATATTCATCCCATGCTTATGCAGAAATTGACCTTCTGCACTGTCAAGTTTTTTAAAGTAGTTTAAACAGGTTTTTGAAATAATTTTATATAAGTTAATATATAAATATGAGTATTGTGTAAATGTTTATACATCTATATGTTTATATACATGTTGTATAAAAGTTTACAAAAACCCCTCAAATGAAAACTGAAATTATGATTTTGTTGATGACTTCAGAAATATATTGCATATGCACATCCATAACATGCATCTGTAAATTCCTTTACATTTTTTCTGAGACTTCCAGTTCTCTGCATTTTGATAGCAAGTGTGTAAAAAAAATTTTGCTTTGTGCAGTCTGTGAGTAATTTCAGGTTGTGGGGCTTTAGCTTACGTAGCTTTATGTGTGTAAAGGAGGAAAGAAGCACTAAGCACGGAGAATCCCTTTTGTCACTCGGTAGTGGCCCTGGGAAGTTCTCACACAGCTTCACTACAATCACAACCAGTATAGAGAATAGAAAACTTTGGGCTAAGAGCAACATAGCCATGAGAAAATGGAAAAATAATTCAAAGACTTCTTCCTCTTCTAATAGTCTGAATATATTGTAACCCAGGTTGGAAAATTCCTTAACAGTAATTACATTAGCTTATGTGACGTATCAAGATATTCGAAAAATTAGTGGCCTTAAAGACCAAACTGTTATAGTTGTGAAAGCTCCTCCAGAAACAAGACTTGAAGTGCCTGACCCAGTGGAGGTAAGGAGAACCTGGCATTTCCTGCCAGGTTATATATCATTTTTCTATTGTTGTGAGTCTTACTGTGGTAACTGATGCCGAAGTTGGATTGTATTGGCATACAGTCCTACATTCATCTGTCTTTCAAACTTCAGTCTTTTTTTTTTTTTTTTTAAAGGAAGGGGAAACTTTAAAAATCAATTTACACAGGGCAATCATTATTTGTTTCTTTTTTTTCAGTTCCAGCTTTCCTTCAAAGTAATCCATGCTATTTACAGATACTCTCTTTTACTCTCTTTTGCTATACTTTATGTAAAGAACAGCTCTTCCTCGACAGTCAAAATTTCCTGTTTGTAACCATGGAAAATCTTTCTCTTAAGAGATTCCGCTCTTTTTTTTTTTTTTTTTAGCTTTATGTAGTTTTATTTATAAAGTTCATGGATAACTCAATGCCTTAAGCATCTTGATTACTCGTATTACTGATACCCTAATTTATTGAGACATATGATTTCATGTAGGGTTTCCTTTTCTGAAGTACTACAGTTATTGTAGAAACTAGTGTTTCCTAGAATCCATTTTTGCCCTTCCTTCTTCCATCATCATCTTTGCTTCATTGACACTGATTTTACACATCTGTGTAAAACTGTACATTCTGCTAGTGCACTTTTTGTTTACTATCGTGAAGTCTGTAGGGGATGGGGATTTCCTTTCCTATTTTAAGTATTTCTATTTCTGAAGCTGTGTTCATCTGTGTGCCTCTTCTGTTGCCCCTTGCTACTCAAGCCACAGTCTCTCTGAGTGCTGGCTTTTGTATATGAGATGTCTGGCTGTCATTCTTTTGTTTCTTATCTCAGGTAGATGTCTAGGGTAATTTAGCTGCTTCCTTTATGTTACAATTGCAGAGAAAAATGCTTCAGGTGGCTTTTCTTTGAAGATATCCTCAGGGAATAGCTTTACTTTTCTTCATTCCTCTCATGGTTTATGAACCACATGGTTCAGCTGCTCCTGGGATTTTATCTTGGTGGTAAAAGTGTGCTGCTTTACAATTCTCAGTTGTTCTGACAGACCCAAGTACCTTGGGCAAATGGAATTTGCAGGAGCCACTGCTTTAGAGAATCAAGAAGTGTACCTAACTTCTTCACTCAAGGAGCAATTAGAGAGAGCTAACCCCCAAACTCCTCTGTGTTGTGTTCCTACCTCTGCGTTACTCCTTCATCCCTGCCATTGTGCTGGTTCCAGTGAGCCCAGGGCTACCTGCTGCTGGGTGGGCAGGAACAGACTCTGGGATTCCCTGTCACTTCTTTTCCTAAGATTATTTTTCACTTGCTTTAGGCCCATTACAGTTTCCATCCTTTTTTTTCTTTTTTTTTTTTTCCCTTTGTCCTTAATTTCCCCTTTGAACCTAGGTGCAGGTTTTGGAACAATAAATCATTTTGCTGCAATGAGGAAGGGATATCTTTTATCAGTATCCATAAATATATACTGTTATCGTTGCTTGCTTTCCTGCTTCTTTCCCCTAGGCATTGTGCTTTGATTTTAATTCAGTGAAAACAGGCAGTTAGAGATGTACACAATCATTAAAATTAGCGCTTAGACCTCCCTTATCCCCTATATCCAATTTATTCATTTGATTTTCAGCTTCAGGCAGTAAAGTCCTATTTCTTTCTCTCATTTGCAGTTACAATTCAGTGTCTTTTTTTGCATATCTCAAGTCACTCAACAGTACCTTCTCCAACTTCCATCTCCTTTTTTCTAATTATCTATAGCATTGCCCTAAGTACTCTTAACTGTTTTCTATGCCCTGGGGAATCCCGGTTCAGTTGCTGTTCTCTGTATTTGTAAATACTGTCTGTTATGTTACATAATTGTTAGAATGCAAGTAATATGAAAAACTTTTTGTTAAAGGGCACAATAAAATGTGTTTGAAACAAGTCTGCGAAGAGGTATATAATGCCTGTATTCATGCTTTTTAAAACTATTAATGTAATACAGCTGGAGCAGATTTATTTGTAACCAGAATAATTTATGATTTTCCATCATAACATAAAGAGAAACTTTGCAGACTTTTTGTCTATATATGTCATCTTGTTTTATTGCATCAATGTGCAAAAGTTAAGAAAATGTAACTTCTTGCGAGGAACTAGGAGTTCCTGTTATTCACAACCACCATCAAAATTGCTGCCTTGAGGGGGCAGAAGAACTTACCTAAACAAGTTTGGGTGAACAAAATGTCATCTGTTTTTCTTTTTTTGTTATTTGGAAAAGCTTCCCTGATAAACAGGTGAACTTACATATAGCTATTTGAGTTCAATGTGAATAAGTGCTGAAGGTTTTTGGGGGAGTGGGAAGGATGTTTTGGCATCTGTTTAAAGCAGAAACATTTACACAAATACATCCAATAATATTGTTATGAAAAATAATAATAAAACCTGTGACTTGCATCCCATAGCTCCATGCCATCAGAATGCTCCAGGTTATTGTGGTTGTAAGAAAATGTTAGGAGTTCAATCCTTTATACCTCTCTGGCTATGATACAACACATAAAATGGTGGGCTTCTGAGATTTGTGCACTACAGACAGTGGGAAAGGCTTTTATGTTCTCTTCCACTCCACAAGATACATCAGCCAAGCCTTTCACATCTTCAAATAAATGCATGGGGGATTTCAGGTTCTTTTGGTTAGTAAAAAAATGTATTCAAACACTCACACCCCAGTAAGAATTTACTCCATATCGTCAATATTCTGTTGTATTCATTGGTATAACATCTTATTGATGTTTGTTTTGTTAGCAGAGTGCATTGATACATTTATCTAGTACTCAAGGACCTATCGAAGTTTATCTGTGCCCAGAAGAAAACGATGCCCTCAGTCCAATGAAAACCTATAGTCAGGACCACAACGGAAATATTTCCAAAACCATTTCCAAAGGTAAAATTATTTCTTTGTAATACTAATGGCCCTTCTTCATGCTCTCATTCAAGATTTCATTTTGAACTTCAGATATCCAGCTCTTATTTTTTGGCTTTATTTTTCTTAGAAGTGAAAAGCTAGGGTATGTTTTCCACTGTGTCTTTCTGATTTATAGAGCAGGAAATATATTTCCTCTGCATCAATTCCTTAAAATAAGTTTCCTATTTGCATATCATATGTAACTAAAGTTTATACAATATTGAAGAAAGAAACAAGTTAGTTGCTTTTGTGTTTTCAAATAGGACAGTAGCAGCAAAGATTCACTTCAACACAAGAGGCAGAAATCTCTGTGTATGGGTCTATGCAGCTACAGTGTCACTGATGACATCTCTTGCCTAGAAAGTTTTCACTTTGACTATGAATTCCACCAAAAAATGGGCATCTCTCGCTACACTTATTTTATTTTTCCCCAGTAGTTGTTTAAACCTTGTAAAATAATTTTTTAGTAGAAAAGTCACTGGTGATAGCAACATGAGCATTTTTGAGAAGCCCTTTCTACATATCAAAAACAAGCTAGAAATTATACAGCGGCTGTATTTTGTTGAAATGATGCTTTATGAAAGGCCCTTTATGCAGTGGGTACTTTGTTTGATCTGTGTCTGGTATTTCTAATGAGATTAAATGTGTCATCTTTATTTGTTCTCTTCCCCCTCTTACAGAAGTGGCTTCTGCTAACTCAGGACAAGGTGACTGCTCAGTAAATATGGCAACAATCTCTCCGTTGGCTTCTCCAGCCAACCTTCTACAGCAGACCGAGGACCAAATTCCCTCAAACTTTGAAGGACCATTTGTGAATTTGCTGCCTCCTCTGCTTCAGGAAGATTATTTGCTGAGCCTTGGCGATGAAGAAGGCATCAGTGACCTCTTTGATGCTTATGATTTAGAGAAGCTTCCTTCGTTGGTGGATGAATTTATATACAGCTGATTCTCTTAAATGCTGTCCATATCTAAATCATTTTTTTAATGGAATCAAAAAACCTGCCATCATTGAGTTGTCCCCTACTTACTATAAAATAGCATTATTAAATAAACTAGGCTCTCGAACAGTGCTGATATTTTAATTAAATACTCCCTAAAATACTATAAACGGGAAGCAAAGGCTTTTACAGCAAGGCCTTCTCCTTGACCCTGAGCTCCAGCGCCTTGTGAGTCAGCAAGTGCAAGCAGGTGACCGTAAATGTTTTGTCTTCACACTCCCCCAGTCTCTGCTTACCGTGACAAGTGGGCTTACGGAGAAGGGCTCAATGAACTGCTTTAGTCCTAAATTACAATTTTATAATAGTATTTCAGGTCGTGCCTTCTGCAGAGAATGCATGTCTCTTGAGTGTCACAACATGGATTGTACCTGCAGTGAACATAAATATGAAGTAATGCAAAAGCGTGAAATGGGATTGTTCAGCTACTTGTGGGAATGTTTAAATTGCTGTCATAATGCTCATTTTGAGCTGTGTATATGTCTCATTATGAGGTCAAATACTTATGTCCTTAAAAGCTTTTAATAAAAAAATACACTGTAAATGTAGTGTATATTGCAAATATTGAAAAGTATAAAGTTCTGCCACTTCTCATAGTAATCACAGATTTTTAAAAATGCTTGTGTGTGTGTGTGAAAGTAGTTTTTGTTGGTTGTTTTTTTAAACTAGAACGAAGATGCACAGTTCAATTTTACTGCCCCCAGTGTGCATTAGAACTGGTACATAAATTTTTGTGGTACTAAGTGGGGCTTTGTGTTAAGTGCCTACTAGAGATGCACTGTGGGTTTTTCCCTCTATGGAAAACACTTATGCCAAGCTTTGTTTGTTCAATATATCATATTTATCTCAGTGGGTTAGCTTCCTCTGCTTACAGCTTTTTATAATTCTCTTCGCCAGCAAAATGGAACTAATTTTTTTCCAAAGTACATAACTGTAAGTACCACATCAACTGAATTGCATTTATTTTTTTGAAGATCTTTGGTAGTATAGTATAGTACCAATATTTATTTTTTGAACGTGAGAGGAATTCTAAGAAGTCTTAAATAATTTTTTTTTTTGAGTGTAAAATATGTTGCCATGTTCTGGGCTAAATTAATGTAATGTTGATTAGATGATGCCCATATAATCCTTTTGTTTGCATTACTGTTGTGCTTATCTGACATACTCAGAAAATTAGTACTATTTGTACTGTAGTAGGATATTATGTATGCAGGTTTTCTGGTACCATTGAGTTGCTGCTATGAAAGCTCACACATGAAAAGGCGAGAAGTCACAGTACTAATAAGAGAACTGTATGACTGTGTGAGTTTTGGAATATAACAAATGTATAAAGGGCAACACATAAAGAACTGTTAAACAGTGTTAAGTGTGTGTTTATATGTACAAATGTGTGCATAGATCATTCAGCAGTTGTATTTAAGTTGATAAATGTTCTCAACTCACACTTTAGTTATCTAGCAGTTTTGTACAATAGAATTAATTTGTAAACACTGCCAGAATATTTTCTAGCTGGTTTGTAATTTTTTAAGAGTTTTTTTAGATGTGGATCTGTAAATAAAATTGTAGTATTTAAAGTTTTCGTCTTGTGGAAGAGGAAAGTAAAAGTTGTGTGAGCATGAAGATTTGTGAGACAAAGGGGCACTTTTGCGGGGGAAGAGAAAATGAAGACTAACGCAGACCATCTTTTTTTGTACAAATTAAACACTTGTCCCAATGTGTGTGGGCAAAATACTAATCTAATTTAGCTTTGCATTGTATGCTAGTTTAAAAAAAAAACCTCTGTAAAATACTGTAAAAAAAACAAACAAAAAACAACAAAAAAAGCTTTTATGGTGAGTTTTGTAAATAGATTTATTAAAGGATGACCTGTTCTCTAGCTGTGATCTTACCACTTCAAATGGATGTAATTTGAATAAATTTTGTATGGTAATGAATCAATAAAAAGGATTTTTTAAAGAGTTTAGATTTGTATACGGCTATGTAAATTCTTCTTACTCTTGGTGCCAATCATGCTGGTTCTTGGAACCTAGCTGTTACTATTTTCATTATTAGTGCTCACACTCATTTGACACCAGGTATGTTTCAATGCCATTTTTTTATTATGCCAACAGTAAGTTCAGCATTTTTTTTTTCTTAAGCCAGAGTGAAACAAGAATAAGAGACATGTAAAGAGACATAGGAGGAGATCCAAAGGTTGGGATAACACAGGTTTATTTTTATTTATCCCCCCCATATGAATTATGAACAGACTTCTTTCAAACTTCATAGAAATTGGGTTATTCTAGGATTAAATGACATGAAAGCAAGTGTTGAGGATCTGTTTAACCTTCCTACTGATAATTCTCCAGAAGTGTCCTAATAGTAGCTTTGAAAAGAAGGAGTTCTGTTTACTTAGTCATCTCCAGCAGTCTCTTGCACCATACATGCATTTACGAACTTGTACTCCCTTTCTGGTCTTGGTGCTGCACCTTTCTAGATGCATGGCCATCAGTTACTAAAACAAAAAAAACCTATAAGGATAACAAAACCACAGTAGGATCATTTGCTTAAATATTACACTTCTGAGCAAGTCCTATGTGTCTCATGATCTTCCCTGCACACAAGGAGAAGGCTACTATTTTCTCTCTTTATGTACCTATCTGTACTCTAACTTCTGCACACAGCACTACTGAAAGGAAAATTACAGAGAAGATCCTATGTTCTTCCATATTCCCAACAAATAATAAAGGAAGGCTAGAGGATGGTGTTCTCTGTTCTCCCTTTGAAGCAGAGATGACAATAAATGTCCTCCTTCTGTCCTATCTGTCGTAGCTCCCTGGCCTGTTCTCAGTTTCTCTGTTCTACAGGTGCCATAAGCACTTTTTTATTCACCCCTAGACTCTGCCACTGATTGCCAGTTTTCATGTCATTTTTCTCTCCTTTCCCTTCTGCTTTCTGTAACTGCTTTGTAAACTTTGGATGCAATGAGTTGCAGGAGAAATAAACCAGCCGGTTAAAATACTTCATTCTGCTCCCCTGAGCTAGCACAGTACACCTCAACATTATTCAGCGTACAAATATTGGTTTCAGGGAGGTTTTATTGGGGCCCGTATGTGCTGCATTCCTTGGCTGCCAGCAGATTGAAAAGAATTCTGAGAAATCTTTCAAAACTGGCCTGAATGATAGGCAACTACACACTTCTTTACACCCAGAAGAATTTAAAAAGGCAAAAAAAAGCAGTGTTCCTGCCCTTGAACCTACAGTGAGAACTCGTCCACCTACAAATGACAGATACGATCACTTTCTATTCTTTTTGACTTACACCTGAAAGAGTAAATTACAATGCTGTCTTGATGCAGACATGGACTTTTTTGTTGTAGAAAGTATGAAAGGTATGTAAGGTACTTTTTACAGCATGAGACATTGCTACATGTTTAGAAGCACCAAATTTAGCAGTATATGCCAATTTTTTCTCTATGGAACACAGTTAATGAACAATGCCATTAGTGTTCCTGGAGCCAACAATTCTTAAGATTACATGAACCAAGAGCCTGTATAGCAAAGTCAATGGAGTGATATTAACAAAAGCATAAACAAGTATCATTCATCTCTGCATTTTGCTTTTCTTCCTGAAGCAAGATCTGCCTGGATATTACTCTACAGCTAAGCAAAGATCAGCAGAATGCTTTGCCTTTATTAAGTTTGGGAGTTTCTTTACCCACTTTTTTCTTTCTAAAACTTGGCAGGGAGGAAGTGTCACACCGAACAGAAAAAACGGGTTGCTATCAATTCTGAGTGGTGCTGAATGCTGCTGACAAATGACCAGCCAGATTCTCCTGAATTGCAGGAATACAGGAAGAAATCTGATTTCTTGTAGCTAACTTTAGGACTCTCCATTTTTTTCCTGCATGCCTTACCACTTACTTTTCCACCCAGAACTGCACGTTAGTTATCAGAGAATAAGGTTGCCATGTAAAAATTGGGCCCCCACTTCCCCGTCTGTCTCCCTTCCTTAAGGATGTTAGTTGAGATGCTCTAAACCGACTAAGGATGTATCTTCTACTAACCATGAGCTGTAATTGATGTTTGTATTTTATTTTCCTACTAGTTTTTGTATTTTCCAACTACCTACTCCTGCAAAACCTGTCATGATTTATAACCCAGCCTGAGGCTGGTGTCTTCAAGTCTACCACCCTGAAGAGTAGGAAGTAAAGTATAAGGCAACTTGGAAAGGATGTATTCTAAAGCTGTTCTTTGGACATTCAAGGAACTGGAGTGTGTATATTGCCAGCCTATAGAAGGCCAGTACTGGGACTTGTACTGCCAGCCGCTGTCTCTAAAGAAGTGGTTTTCCCAGGTAGCTATAGATAAGCTTTCTTCCTGCAGTCAGGAGGTGGTAGGGAATCACCTGCTTCCCTTGCTCCCTGCTGCACTACAGCAGTCTGTGTGCAGCTTTATTTGTTATTATGAATATGCTACAAAGCAATTTAGATTTGTGAGCTTCAAAAGCACTTAGAGTGCCTTCCATGTTGTGGCTACATCCTAAGACTGAATAGGACTGTGCTGGCACAAGGGCTGCTTGATATTATGAATTCTTGGCAGCGGGACAAAGTAAGGACTCTGCCGGATCATGCTGAAACTGATCGGCATGGCCTATTTATGTCACTAGGTATGGGACTCATGGGTTATTCCTGCCTTGGAGCTGCTCTTGGAGCTCACTGCCTCCCCTTAATGAGTAGTGTTTTGTCAATCTTGGCCATCTGGTGATTTTTGGGTATGTCTCGCAGACTATCTATCTGTGCTTTGCTCTTTCAGTCAACCCTAAAACAGCACTGATGTCTGCCCAGTTTTGTTTAACCAGAGAGGTAACACTTGGCTAGTCAAGATAACTGTGGGGTAGTGCAGTGCAGTGCTCCCAGAATAGAGAAGTTTAGACTGATGTGAAATACTTAGAAAACTGAATATGGGAAACTGAAAAGAAAAAGGAAGAAAATTGCTAACCTTATCAGGAAGCAGTTAAAATACTGATTGGTAATATATATATATATGATTACTTACTGACATTCTAAGGACTACTTACACCGTACTATGAAGGAGGATGTCTGAAATACATTAATGTGACTGCCAATTTTAAAATGTTTTCCTCCACTCTCTTCTGGGCTAAAAATGCTGCAAAAATAATGAATTACACATCACTCAGTGTCTCACTGAGAGTACCTCTGACAAGTACTTGCATGCTTAAACAAAGACCAATCACAAAGGCAAATGTATCTTAAGCTGTAACAATGACTCTATCATGAGGCCAGGGTGATATTAATAGTGCTCAGTCCTGCCTAGAATGATTTGTTCTTAAAGACTGATTAAAAGGAAGTGCTTGTTTCTTTCTGTCCCAATTCTCCTCTTCAAATCTCTCCTGTTACTTTGTTCTCATTGTTATCCTTCTTTGGCCTGTGAACATTGTCAGATAAGTGTGACATAAAATAAGCACCAGTTTTTAAGAAAAAGGAGAGGGAGGGGAATGTAAAAGTTGTTAGGTGAAAGTTGCCAAGTTTTATCTGCTAGCAGACCAATAGGCCTCTTATGGAATACGCTCAGGGCTTTCATTCACTTTCCCTCCAGTTCAAGGCAGACTATAATCCGCTAGCTGGAGAATAAAATAATGATTCCAGAGGCTCCTTACTCTAAAGAGAGTAACTTAATGTTTGAAATGCAATTACAGGAAATGGTGATTTTTATACTCCTAAGCTGGCTACCTCAAAATCAAATTAATATGTTGAAGATGCAATATAAATAATCTTTTTAGATTAACTGTGTGTATTAAAAACAAAGCAATAATATTATGCTCACCCTCCATAACACTTTGATCAACAAGGAACGTACACACGTAACAATCTGTCTGCTTAGAGCACTAGCTTTAACCATCCAAGTTGAAACAGCCAGACTAACGTCTTCCAAAATATTAATCCGAAAAGTTGCTATGAGCCCTAAATTGGAGGAAAACAATGCCAGAAACTTTAGCCATCTAATATTAAATATTTTGAGCAATGTCTTCCAGACTAAACGGAAAAGTTGCTACTAGCACTGGATTTTGAGGAACTGAACGACTGAATATAAAAAAGCATTGTGGCCGTAACAGGAATAAACAGCTCATCATTCATTTGGATCAGATGCATCAGAATCCAACCTTTTAATGGGAAACGTATTGCTGGACCCAATTCTCCATTAAAATAACGGTGAATCCGCAAGGATTCGGGAAAGTGGCGCCGAGGACGTGTGCCCTCGGTGCTCAGCAGACACCCGGGCACCGGTTATTTCCACTTCAACCACAGCCACGGCCCTCCGCCGGAGGAAATTCCATTTTCCGGCTCGCCCGCTTCACCTTCAGTCGCAGGGTATCGCATGCTTCCAGCGCAGCAGCAGCCGCCGCCTGTCCGTTCCACGCCGTGCCTGCGGGTCCCGGCTCCCATCTCCTCACAGCCCCAGCGCGGCCTCCACAGGGCGGCTCCAACGCGGCGGCCGCAGCGGCGGGAAGGCCCCCCCCCGGCCGCGGTGG